TTCCCCTACATTGAAGTACTTATAAAAAATTTTACTAGGAATTTTTCCTCAACAAAATGGCGGCGTCAAAGTCTTGGATCCAAAGTGCGGAAGTCGTCCCACGGGCGGAAACGAAGCTCCCTCACCCTTTGAGCTGGAACAAAAAACCAAAGATTTCTAAAAAATATATAACATTTTCTTTCGAACCACGTACGGATTTTGCGACAAGTCAAAAATTCGTGTTCTTATAAACACTTTTGTGCGAAATTTTTGTAGCGAAAAGTGCAACTTTCATTTCCAACGCGCACCATTTTTACAAAAAACGGTATTTCGCAAAATCCGTACGTGGTTCGAAAAAAAATGTTATGTATTTTTCAAAAATCTTTGGTTTTTTGTTCTAGCTCAAAGGGTGAGGGACCTTCGTTTCCGCCCGTGGGGCGACTTCCGCAAAGGTCTCCAAAAAACTTCCGCTTTGGTTCCATGTCGTCGCCATTTTGTTGAGGAAAAATTCATAAAAATTTTTTTAAACTTCAATGTATAGAGAATAAATAGGAATAAACAGATTTTCATTTACGTTTATTATATGCCAGAAAAAATCACCGAAAAGTGGCTTTTTTCGGGGGGCTCTACGCTGAGAGACTTATTTTGTTGACTGAACATGTAATTTGATTGTATAAAACGGAAAGTATGTTGCTAAAAAGAAGTTAAATGTTACAACTATTTTGTTTCCACTAGTTGTTTATTTGATTATGACTCATCAAAATCGGTGTGTCTCCATTTGGGTATAGGTTTACTTATCAGTGTAGAGGGTTGTGACCCCTTAAACGTGCAGATAAGATCAGCTGGATCGATTAGAATTCGCATCATCAGAACAAAGTCCAGAACGCAGCGTGACTTATTGTAAGGATACTGAAGTTTCACCCCGATGTGTCGTTCCGCATAAATTGCCATTCAGAAATGTTTGAATTGAACGATGACACCGGTAGACACTGGTGACATAGAAACTGCGCAGTTAAAAAACTAAGTGTTATCGCGAACCCATAATGATTCAAATATCGTAAATATTGTGATTGCTGGCTGCATTAGTCTCGTATCTCATCTCCGTTAATAAATTTCTACATGCGTATGATAAAGCACCTCTCTGCGTCCGCGACAATGTTCTCATTACCATACTGCGTGAATCTCGAAGCTGCATTAATTGACACGAGAGCGCGACTTCGAGGTAATATCTGCCTCGTGGACTCGCAAGTGTTTCGGAGCGTATCATAAAAGCTTGTCTCTTTCCTGTGTCGCAATACGCGCGTCAAACGTGATAGCCGTTTATTTTCACGAAACGCGGCGTTTCATCGTCGCTGTGTGCGACACAACTACGCCTCCTTCAGCCGCTACGAAGCCCAATATCCGGTTGGCGGTATCCTACTCTTGCGGCAATGTCCACCTGCCGCCGTTTCAATACTGCTCATTTTCTCGGAATCGCGCGCGTAATGCACGTATAATTCAAATCTATCTATATTAATTCCGCGGCCCGCCTCGAGTAGTTAGCAATATCCGTCGGTTCGCGCGCAGCTAGACGCGGTCACATCCCTTTTTTTGCCCCAATAAAAATTCAGCGTTACAAAACGAACAAATCGGATTCGTTGTCCGTCCAAGACAAACTGACACGTTACGTCAACCTCACGGTTATTGTTCCTTTTTGTATAGACGGCTATTTCGGTTTTCTCAGACAACACTTATTATCTTCTTGCACTCGATCGAAAGTGGTTGTTCCCGACCGGAAGCGGGCGATATCGCGCACGTATAATCAGGGAGAGACACAGCACGCACATAAAATATAATTAAACGCGCGTACGGTCGTCCGCGTTAAAATGCGCGGCGAATCCGCGATGAGCGCCAATGAAAAGCGGGACGACTTGGCGTCGACGGCGCGCGGTTACGCTCGCGGATGTGACTTTCGCGCCTCGCAGCTGGAACACTGGTTTTCTGTCTAGCGAAAGATGCAGCTACAGTTTCCCGCGAGTGCGGCGCGCGATACTGCTCGCCCGGCGGTGCCGATCGCGGCGATGATGTAACGTGGCGCACATTTCTTTGTGCCGGCACGCGGCCTCGGTGCGGCTTCGCTTTTCGCCGCACGTCCCGCACGTTGAAAGCCTCCGCACGAATTGGACGACTATTAGTATGTCTTCGCGTGTCCGAGGCCGTGAGTGGGCTACCATAATGCGAGGTCTTATATAGTTACGATTGAGATACGAGTCTAATACCGCCAGCAATCACAGGTAATTAGCGGAGATATGTATACGTTTTTTTTTTCTTTAATTAAATATATCTGTCGAGCTAGCTTTCCTTTTAATCTTTCCTCTGCACGGACTTGTTCTTATTCAACGTTTCTCGTAACATTTTCCACTGCCACATAATGTACTTGACTTCAATTCTACATGAATACTCGTCTTTGTCTAAACGAGTCTTTTGTTCTTTGTCTCGGGGATTTCAGAGGGCGCAATATTTTCCTTAATATTCACAAAGTGTTTTGTCAACGATTGCATTATGAATTATGGGAAGAAGATATTGAAACTGATATGAATAACGATATGAGGTATCATGAGAAGCAAGATTGAGTCGTAAAACACTGGTATGAATAACGATATGAGGTATCGCGAGAAGCGAGTTTGAGTCGCAAAATACTCTGAAATGTAACAAAAAATAATCTGATTCAAAACAGACCAATTAATTACAGTACGATAAGTCATTTATTTTTTAAACGAATCAAGTTTTATCAACCGGTATTCGCATTCGCGGCACGTAAAGTCAATTATCCGGCATCTCTGTGTGACGCGAATTCTCAAGGTCCGTCAGCAGCGACCGTTCACGCGATCCTCTTCGCAGAAGCTGCGATGTAAATTCCAGCCATTCTTCTGTAATCTCGCCAAGTACCGGCGAGATAATCAGAGGCGCGGTATTTCGCGAGCGCGAAGCGTGCGAACTTCACAATCGTTACTTCACAAAATTCACCTGGCGTGCCGGTTTTCTATGATATAACTCCATCGTTTGTTGTCACAAGTCACGGTGCAGTTTATGCGTGCGAACGGCCAGAACGTGCGAGTCATTCATTGTGCCGCAACGAAGAGAAAGGCTTCGCGGAAACCGCCACAAAGCAGCGGCGTGAATAGAACCGACCGGCCGGTCCCCTAGCGGTAAAATTTATACAAATAACTACAAAAATTGACTCGAAATAGGAATTTGTAGAAATTTTTATATCCTCGTGGAAACATTAATTTTTTTTTTGTAAAGATATCTACGAAATAGTACCACAGCTTGCAATGTTCTCAAATCACGAAGTTATTGCAAGTAGTATTTCATGAAAATGTACAATTTTGTAAAACTTAGTACAAAACTTTACTAGTTTAAAAAATTTGAGAAGCAAAATCTTAAAGGATTACAACATCCGCTTACTTGTAGAATATTACAAAAATTAACAAGAGTGTTCCAATTCTAGCATTTTTATGTTAAATTTTATAACACCTTTTAAGTTTACGTGAAATTTCTTAGATTCTGGCAGTATATTCTTTTTATAGAATTTTGTAGAATTATTTCCTGCAGGGTCGTGCGTATTGAAATCGCGTGAATTCGTGCGCGAAGGAAGCGATGACGAAGACGATGGCGAGAGCCATCGGGAGCGTCTCGCGCGGTCGGAAGATGACAAGCGCGGGCTCCGTGACTCCTCGCCGATACAAATTGCACCTGGGAAATGACTACGAAGGCGCATTGCGAAATATGTCAGGGTCACCCTATTGCATCGACAGTCCGGCACTTTCACTGACGGCCGCATACGGTTACGTGTCGCGCGCACGCCGCTCGGACAAAGACCCATTCTTCATTGGGATCAACGGACCAATTGTCGCGCGCGATTATCAGCGAATTCCACGGAAGAGATAGGAGAATTGAATAAGGGAGAACTGGAAAGGGACTCGATCTTATGATCCGAAACGATCGGTGAAAGGTCGCGCCGCGAGGTACCCCCGGCTCTTGAACCCAACGCGGGAGAATCTAGCTGCTAGCTGTGACTACGCAGGCTGAGAAGAATGCACGTGAATGCACCGTGTATACTTATGTCGAATCTTTATAAGTGTACATCATAGTAGAACACTTGATCGAGCACGAAAGTTCACGTCTAACCAGTCGACATAGTCACGTTCCGTTGACGTAATCTATAAGTACATGTTATTAGTGCTTTTTCTGTCTGTTGATTTCGATATTTCATAATTTTCATCATACGTATGCCGTGGTAATAACACATTTTCCACGTCTAGCCGTATACCCGTTATCCACGCATTAATTTCAAACCTGGCGAATTCTGTGAAATTAAATTCCGTCTTGCATCATTATTACGTTGATTTACTCGATAATCGCTGCCTAGTCTACGAAATATCGAAGAACGCCACATTGTGCTGAACTGAAAGTAGACCGACGCCGCGTTGCAACATCTCAAAGATATTGCGTTGGTGAGTTTGCGTTTGTTTTAGAAAGTTTTATTCTTTCTGCTATCTCAATATGTCGACCATTGCTGATTGTTTTTTTTTTCGAGGAATCACAGAGAGTAAAAATAGTTTATTATGAAAATTAAAACAGTGAGCTAATTGTCAACCCAACTGGTAAATATTTGACAATAAGCCTTTTCTTCGTTTGTTATAAAAATTGAAGATAATATGTATTAAATGTGCACTATCGATTTCTCGGAACCATATCTTAAGGATTTGCAAATCCAAATTGCGATCAATGCACGTGTAGGTTCTCGTAAAGAGCGCTTGGAGATTTTATTTATTTTGTAAGGATCTCTAACAAGTCTCGAAACACAAAATAATTTTGCCACTTATTGCCATGATAATTTCTGTCTTCTCTATGGTACCCTTGCGTGGACCGCCGTGTAATCTGAAGACAAGACTCTTACTTGTTTGACAAAGCGAGATTCCTCAAGGCCAGTCTACGAAAGCATGATAACTTGTTTCGAGGATGGGTTCCCTCTTTTTTTTTTTAAAGAGTTAACTCATCCGTGACGTAACATGCGTATTTTCACATCAATCTTCTTCAAACGTAGAATAACCAAAACTCTTTGTTTGCCTTCGATCTTTCTGAAAACTTTTACGAAGAATTCTACGGAGAATCGTCGGCACTCAAGGCTGCGCCCGTCGATATGCAACCGCATACAGTCGCGTGTAACGTAGACTGCATTTCGGCCTCTCGTGCCGGTATTTTCTACCGAAATTATCGAGAGTGCAAATTTTCGGCCCTTTCGTCCTTGTTAAAGTTTTTTTTTTTTAGTAACGAAATCTATCAAAACTTTCTAGTTACATTTTACATTGCTATAATATTCCAGCGTAAGTCGTATATAATATTTGTATTACGCATGAAATACTCTTACTCACATATTAATCTGGATGAAAATTATTATTAGAAAGTCGAGTCTATGAAAGTCCATGAAAATATCACTGCGTTATCTCTGTAAATTCAATGCCTCAAACCATTTCCCTTTACTGACAATTGCACGCTTTTACTTCTCGAGATCGAAAGTGGCATTATCTCATACGGGTTTTGTTTTCACTCTTGTGACAAACCCTGCCATTGTAGAAACTATGCATTTATCACATACAGCGTTTCTCCCCCCCCCTCTCTCTCTCTCTCTCTCTCTCTCTCTCTCTCTCTCTCTCTCTCTCTCTCTCTCTCTCACTCTCTCACTCGCAAATATTCTTAACATCGATACGATAATTGTTATATCGAGAAAACTATTTTTTCCGAAGAATCATTACTATTAATTCAGATTTTCAGTAAAATAATTTATAACGTCATTAATTCGCATCATACAAATATACACATATTATTACATTTTCTTTTGTTATCAATACTGATAACACTGACGACAAATGCAGAATAATTAATTAATTATGCTACATTTATTTATTAGTTATGAAACTTTTAATACGTAATTGTTATATTACGTATTAAATAAATAAAATAAGTTTCTAATCAATTCGATTTTTTCTTTTCACACGCGTTTTTTTTATGTCTTTAATTGTTTCCTATGCCGACACTAGTTTAGCGGACAAGAGAAAGATGACAGTATTACACTGCGAAGCAGAATTGTTTTATTGATATTTTTTTTCTACGATTAAGCGAGGTTTAAAGTGCAAATGATGAAATGAATGAATAATCAGCGAAGATACATATAAATTTAAATATTAAGACCTGTAAATATTTAACTTATTGCCATGCGACATTACTCACCCAATAATGATGCAATGTTTAATAGTTCGGATATTTACATCGAGGCATTGCAACATCGAAAAATGAAATTAATAAAATCTTTCTCTCTCTTTCACTCTCTAGTTGATAGTAATAATCCTTAAATAGAAAACGTACCAAACGAGAAAAACCTGTCTTTCCGGGAGAGATAGAGTTTCCAACGTTTTGAAATAAAATCACTCCTCCAAGCTTTGTATTCAAAAGGATTCAAATACGACAGTTTTGAATTGATTCAGCGAAATTAGCAATTCACTCGCCGATCGTCCGCGACACGATACTTCGCGATCTCGATCCGCGATCGAAGTTGAACGGCAACTCACCGGGTAGCTGCCGATACGGGAGAGGGGGAACCGAGGTACGATCCTTA